ACGTTTAGGTATTCGAAATTGGACATTTAATACTCAACAATGGCAAATGAGAGCATTCAAAGTTTGAAGAATAAGATTATCCCCTTTTACATAATTGGTTTTACTTTATCAAACTTCATTCGAATTCTCAGTCTCATCAGTCGCTGAAAGTGACGATTAATCATGCATCAATCAAAGCCAAACTTGGCTTACCTTGTAACATTATGAAATCACTTAAATTTCTTACTTTACTTCTCAAAGCAACCCCATGATATGGACTTATAACTTCTATAAACAAATTGAGAGAAAATGATTTGTAATATTAACCAATATATTGTAACACATCATAAAGCTGTATCCATGAAATATACATTAACAATTAGAGCTATGTTTCTTTCTTTTTCTCACCAGCTGAAGTTTTGAAGTTTTGTCTATGTCAAAATACCTCTCAGCATGAGCTATATATCACGTTGAGTGATTAACAAATTGTGTGAGCAACATAATATGATGAGTGCAATAATTATGCACCATTTGGATCTTGTCTGATGACTACACACTGCTTAAGCATTATGGAGGCTGAGAGCACTTCAACCGTCTCAACACTATGCTTTTAATGAACTTTTATCATCTTTAGTAGGTTTATCTTTCTAGCCAATATTGCAAATATCCAATTCATAAAATAACAAAACAATAATACTAAATGTATCGTATGGATCGGATGACCACATAGTTACTTTACATCAAACTAGCTGGATGGCCTTAGAGAGCAAGAATCATCTAAATGATTGAACGTGACATAACCATCAGGTAAGATTGGACGTCTAGGAAGAGAAACGTCTGGCCTTAGTCAATTAGTAAGTTTTCTTACAAAGATTAAGGTAAGTGATGATTTGAGATATTGGGCTTAGATTCGACCGTAATTATGGTTTTACTAATCTCAAACCCATGCCGAAAACTATAAATATAGGTCAAAGGTAAGAGGTAGGTGATTACATTTATTGTTTTTTTATTACCATTACACTGAACTTCCGGACAGTTAACTAACTTAAGCACATAAGAGCCTTTGGCAGGTACACCTCGAAACGGTTGAGCAAAGAGAAGGACTAGAAGAACATATATTAGACGACATCCTAGAAGATATTGTGCAAGTGTTAATGACTCGACCTGACACCCGAAACACTAAACATACAAGTTATGAATATTTAGTATAATGTAAAAAGAAAAATAAATGTTGTTTATGGGTAAATAGTTTTTTTTTAATTCTCTTTCATTTTAATCAATTTTATTATTATTTTATTTGATTCAGATTTAGTACTTTTTAATATTTTATTTGAATAAACTATTTACTATTTTATTTCAATCAAATTCATTACTATTTATTATTATTCTTTTTTTTCTACAAACATAAGTAGTTCAGTTTTTGATTTTTTCTTCTATAGTATTTCTTTAAACATTAATATTTATAAGGTTTAAAGATTCTTTGATACACTCCGTAGATATGATGAGTTATTATATGTTGGGCAGGAGGGCATATGATTTTATTTCACACACACACGTAAACGACAATGTTCTACTTGTCTCGCGCTAGACTCTTTAAAATCTATGTTTAATTATAATTTAATTCTATATTGTTAATCTTTATTTCAAGAATTGTTTTTTTATCGATGTTTCTATATTCATATATCCATCTTACTATTAGTATTATTACTACTATTATTATTATTATTATTATTATTATTATTATTATTATTTTTTATTATTTATTATTATTATTATTCTTGTTAGTATTATTTTTTTGACATATTAATCATCATATTACATAAAAATAATAGTAAAATACGTACCAAATATATATCTAATTTTTATTTAATACCTCGTGAGTAATTCACACTAAAATTTATCAATAAAATAATATTCAATTTTAAATATGTTAAGTATACTTTAATATTATATTTATTGTTATTCAAAAGCTACTTAATTGATGATGAAATTAATACAATAAAATAAAATAGGCTTAATACCTCTTTTGGTCCTTCTTTAAGGGAGCAATGTTCAAGTCCGTCCTACCTTTTTTAAAAAGTTCAATGTGGTCCCAACTTGTGAAAAAAATGTACAATTAAATCCTTTTTGGTCACGGCGTTAAATATTTAACGATGAAACTGCTCCTCTGGACTAAACTTGATGAGCTGTTCATTTTTTCTCTTACGTGGCATGGTGACGTGTCAATTTTGAATTTTAAAAAAAAAATTGCTTGACACATCATCTTCTTCTTCCACCTCCACCAATCCTAAATTTAGGGTTTCTTCTCTCACATCCTTGGAGAGGTACCCTTTGGCAAACCATTTGCAGTGAGGATTTTCTTCTTGCCAATTCTGTCAGGACCCACAAACAGTACCTGATTTTCTTCTTGCCTCTGATTTGAGTTCAATATCTGATTTCTCAGTTTCTTTCAACATTTGTGCTACTTCTCGCTCGCAGTTCTGCATACATTGCGGGCAACAAATTGATACAGCATCAGGATCTACGTTCTCAGAGCCACGCCTCAATGGAGAGATCGTTGTAGTTGGCAAGGTCTTTAACGGGGATAAAGACCGGTGAAACAAAATCGAAAAAAGAACAGAAACAAAACAGAGTTAACATATCAGATAAGATTCATTTACCAACTACAATCCCAAATTTAATCAATTCCATGAAAGAAAATGCTTTATCTCCATTCCATTAAACACGAAACACTAATCTTTATCATTTAATCTGATCTTGCTATGGAATAACCAGGGAAATAAGATTTTGGAGAGAGATCATCGGAGTTGGAGTGGAAATGGAGGTGGGAGCCGGCGAAATCGGAGTGGGAGGGACAGACGTGCTTGGAAAGCTGATGGGTTTTGTGGGGAGGAGAGGGAGAGGGGGAGGAAGAAGGAGACGGCGGCACATGACTCAAGGTGTCGTGGTGGACAAAGGAGTGGAGGGAAGAAACCCTAAATTCACGGTTGGTGGAGGTGGGAGAAGAAGATGATGTGTCAAGCAATTTTTTTTTAAATTCAAAATTGACACGTCACCATGCCACGTAAGAGAAAAAATGAACAGCTCAGAGCAGTTTCATTGTTAAATATTTAACGCCGTGACCAAAAAGGATTTAATTGTACACTTTTTTCACAAGTTGGGACCACATTGAACTTTTTAAAAAAGGTAGGACGGACTTGAACATTGCCCTCCTAAAGAGGGACCAAAAGAGGTATTAAGTCAATAAAATAAAAGTAGATATTTATGGTTGAGATTGAAAGATTGGTTCTCCCTATATGATTTCACCTTAAAACATATCAAAGGAAACAAAAACCTTATCCCAAACTTTCTATCTCGACCAACTAAAGTTATCCAAATGATTAACAAAACTCATAACTTCCCATTGATCTTCATGGTGAAACTCATAAGTTATATCCTCCAGGATTACATCCTAGAACTCCAACAAATATCTTAAATTATGCGAAATCAATATACTTCTTTTTTTCTCGATAAGACACTAAGATTCAAGGTTACTTCTCCTTGTACATTTGATCTTACGAACCCAAATAAAAATATTTTTTAATTATTATGTGACATTGGATGAGATATTTCTCTAACATACATTATGGACCATATGATGGAAGAAATTTGATAATTAGTGAAAACACTTGTATTCAGTTTTTTATAATAAAAACACTAATAAAATTTAATCATACAAATAAATATCAATAATGACTTTTTATTTATTTTATACATTAGTTTTATTTATTTAACTTTAAAAAATTAGTTAAATTAAAAAAATTTTTTAATTTAAAAGTAAAAAATCACTTAAAGAATAAAATTTAAAAAAAAGTTGTAACCACCAAAAGGAGAAATTTGTTTTATATAATAGTATAATATTAAAGAGCCGATTTATTTGTTATTATTTTTAAAATAAACGAAATTTAGTTAAATAAACATTTTAATATTCGTCTACTTTGTTTATTGAACTTTTTTTACTGTCAGTTAAAAAATATATGATATCAATTTCTTAAATAAATTTTCTTTTCAAATCTTCAATATTTTAAATTACACTAACCGAAGCAAGTAATCGTAGTTTGTCTGAAAGTCATTTTCTACATCACTTTAAGAAAATCCTAAAATTTAATGAGTGTGGCAGTTGGTCTTTTTGTAGGGCCGGGAAATAATTAATGAATGCTACTTTCCTGCACAATAGTTGTTTAAGCAGGAAAATATATTTCTTTTAACTGCTATTTTTAAAATTTTAAAATAATATAACCTCTTTTCAATTATATCCTTATTTTCATCTTTGTTAAAATATGTCTAGAGATGGAAAAATGAAAAAGTAGTAGATAGTTTATTTAATATTGTACTAAAATAACATAATGTTTTCTTTAATTTAAGTGAAAGAACATATATAAACACAGTATTAAAGGTAAAAAATAAATTAACTAAATGTTCATAAATTTCATTATCAGTTTATTAACTACAATAGTATTAATTAATACGAGTGAAGGCAAGCGCTCTCCGGTGATACCATCTTCGTAATTTATTTTAAATTAATAATACAAAATATATTTAATATCTACGGTGGCATACCACAAGATATTTTCGTACTTCTTCCAAGTTCCAACAAAACGACACGTGTATGCTACCCCACAGCAATATCTTCGCTCAGGCGTTTTCGAAGCACGCGCCAGTTTGCCGCGTATGAGTTGACAGAAAACATATAATGAGGTGACACATGGCAAAGTGCGCAGTGCTGACATCATATTCCACCAGACATGGACGTGTGTGCCATGTAGGCAGTGGCAAACCAGGAGGCCTGTAACCGTCCGATAAGGAAGGCATCAACGGCCACGATGGAGAGAGAATCCGTATGCTATAGTGACGAGGAGTTTGGAGAGTGAGTTGAAAGCGAAATATATATAAAAAAATAAAAATAAAAGAGAGATAAGATGATTTGATAAAATATTGAATTGTTATTATTATTGTTAATTTAGTTTGATAAAAGAAAAGAGAAGGAGGGAGAAGTGAAGTGTAGTTTGGTTAGAAGAGAAGGGAAGGGACAGAAGAAGAGAAACAAAGGGAAAAGAAGCGAGGTGATAGGAAAGCGAAAAGAAAGGGAGAAGGAAGTGGGAGCATTTTTTCAGCAGAAAACACTACCACTCCTTTCGGTCTCAAAGGAATCCGACCCTTACGCCGCCGCTTCTGCTGGGATTCCGCTGCCGCATCCTATTCGACCGTTCTGATTTTTCGCCGCTTTCCTTACATTTCATGACACAAAAACAACAACAAGAAACAGCAAATCCGCCATGGATCGAACCAGAGGAAGATCGTCCTCTATGTCCGCAAACGCTTTCCCCAGACGCCGTCACCCTAATATCCCCCTCCGACCCACTTCTCGTATGAATTGGTTTTTTCTCCTTTTTTTTCTCTCTTAATTTTCGTGACGCGTCTCTGATTTGTCTGTTTCGACAGAGGAGGTGCAGGAGATGAGGTTAAAGGATAATAATGACGATGATGATAATAATGGTAAGAGGGAATGGACGAAGAAGAGGAGAGGGAGCAACTCTCACAGCACCGAGGAAGAGAGTGTGGGGAATGAACAAGACGCGCGGTTGCATTCTAATAATACGGCGTCGTCCGCATCCGATCATAACCACCGGGGACGGAACGTAATCGACGAAGTGATGATCGGAGCTACAGTGCCCAGGAGGACTCGTTCAGGTTTTGTCTTGATTCTTTTTATTTTTGGTTTCTCTCTGACAGCACTGGTTTTTACTTTTTTGGATTTTTCTTCTCTCAGCTTCTGTGAAAAGACCTCATCACAGTTGGGTTGAGGAGGAGAGTGCTGAAGATGCGTCGCCTTCTTCTTCCAATGTTTCTCTTCCCAAGAAGATGGTCTGAGATACTTTTGCTTTTCTTTTATATTTATTTGCTCGATCTGTCCTTTTTTTAAACGAAATTGATAGGATGAGTTTTGTTGCAGAAAGCGATTGAACCGTCTTCGTCGAATCAGGAGGACATCGAGATTGAGATAGCTGAGCTTCTGTACAGTTTGCGAGCTTCCCAGAACCATGATTATTCTTCTTCGCAGAAGGATAAAGCAAGTGATTCCCCTGCACTTTCGTCTTACCCTGCCATTGATATTGGTGGGTTGAATTTTCGAATCAGATAAAGAATTTTACTCTTGTCCTTTACGCTTCTCCTCACCCTCCTCTCCATTCACTTTTTTCGTTGGCTTTTTCATTGTCAGATACGAAGAAAGTGGAAGATTACAGTTCTTCTTTTTGCATTTTACCCCCGAACAATTCAACTCCCGAGTCAGTCGTAATTGAAAGCCATCAACCTGCGAAGACGGAGATACCATCGTCCGTGTCGCCTAGGACGTCTGGAGGTGATGGTATTGAGTCTTCCCTGGGTCCAAAACAAGATGCGGAGGAAGATAGTTTGAGTCCAGGTTGTAGATGTGGGGATGCTGTAGATGGAAAATTAGAATCCAAGTTGGTTGTCGACAAACATGATTGTGCTTCTTCTATAAGGTGAGAATTGAAATTATAGAAAAGAAGAACCCACTTTTGTGTGCTATTGTTGTTTGATTTTCTTATCTAGGTACCTGATTATCGAACCCATTATCTTGTTACTGAATTTTACTAGGACATGCGATGATGTTTCGGAGGGCAATGACAAACCCAAGTTTGAGATTGATCTAATGGTGAGGATATTTGTCTTTTTGCATCCTTATTACTGTATCTCCCTTTGGGTATTATTGCTGTTAAGTGTCTGAAGATTTTGTTCCAATTACAGGCTCCCCCTCCTGTGTCCTTCTCATCAGAATGGGGTAATTTGTCTAGGGGTGAAGACAGTAATAAGGTGGAAGACAAGGTAGAAAGTATGAGTAAGAAGGAGAAAACACTGGGAGAAATTGAAGAGGTGAAAATGAAAGTTGATTTGGAGAAGCCAAATGGCCATCATGACCTAGCGACAAACCATGAATTAGGAGAACTGGGCAGGAATAGGGAACAACCAACTACTACCGCTACAAATGCCAAACTGGAGAAAACTGGTAGGTTGAGAGATTTTCCTTTATCCTTTTATTGATATGATTAAGCCTACAGCACCACATGCAAACTCTGATTTTGCTTTCTTGTTGAATAGAGGTCTCTTACACTTCTTTACTTCTTCAGCTCAATGTAGTTCAATGTCTTTGTCAGTGGCTGTATCCGAAAGGCTAAGCGGTTTCTCTCCCCTTGGGTACTAGACCATTTATTTTTTTCACAATTTTTTTTTCTTTTTCTTTTCGTCATTTTGATCCGTATCTGATTTTACTTGACGGTTGGTCTCTCGTGAATATTGTGGCTTTGCTTTTTTCTAAGAACAATAACTATAATTTGCAGTTACGTGCCGCCCATGGGGACAGCTGTGAAGACAGATAAAACAACAGGATTATTGACAGCCCCTCAAGTAATTTTATTTCTCGCCTAATTGGATATTGTAATAGTTGTTCAAGTCCTTTCTTTGTTCTTGCAAGTGTCAACCATCTCACATTCTTCCTGTAATATGGACCTCTGTTATTAATGTTTCCTACATAATTCAAACATTCAGCATGGGAACTTTGTGTTGTCTCAACCTCGACCAAAGAGATGTGCAAGTCATGGTTACATTGCTCGGAACATCTTCATGCACCAACAGTGTACAAAGATGAATACCCTTTTGCCGTCCACAATTGGCTCTGGTTCTATGTGTGACACAAAGCTCAGCAAAGTCCATTCTGCTGAAAGTGTAGTTGTTGGGAAGCAGTTTCATAAACAGTCACCAGGCCTCAGCCATAGTTCTGCACCGGAGAAGGGATGGACTACCACTAGTGATTTTAGTGTTGCTGCTATTAAAAAAAGTTCTGGTCCTGCCAACCCAGTGGACACGACGCAAATGAAGCAGCTTATGCTTCAGCAAGGTCAACATCCAGGGTCTTCTGCTAATATAGTGGTATGATCTTGTTTTCCAGTATTTTCTATACTGATAATAGAAATTGGCTATTTTATTTTGAAAAGTCATGTGTTTTAACTTTGAATGTAGCATGGTCCTGCTTTTCTAATCCCTCCTGGCCAGCATCAAGCATCTGTAATACCAGGTACTAGTCCAGCTGGTGGTGTGAACAACGCTAGCAATGCTTCCTTGTCTAATAAATTCCAAAGTTCCCCAGGTGTATCTCTTGGTGGCGCAACACTGCCAGCAGTTGCTGCTTCAATGAGCTTTGGCTACTCAAATTTGGCAGCCAATGATGCTCCATATATGACAATAGTTCCGAATAGTGGGTATCCATTCCCCTTTTCAACTCCCCTTGGACCATCTGCAGCTATTAGAGGTGCAAGCCCTGCACAGTCAACACCTATTCTCAATGGGCCTTTGTACTCTTCTCAGATCTTCCACCCACTTCAGTATCCACAACAGCATCCTCACTCCCAACCACTTGTTCAACCTAGTTATCTTAATGGAAGCACATCTAGTGTTTCATCATCATCCCATAAGCAGTCACAGGGAATGCAAGGTAACAACAACCATATTTTGTCCTCCACAACTATGCAACTTCAGCAGTCACAAAAGCAGCACACCTCACAGTCTCATCTTCGCAAGCATGAGACTGGGATAGCCGGAGAGAATTCTCCATTTGCCGCAAGTGGAACAACTTACTCCCAAAAGAATGGATTTGGGCAAAACTTCCCTATTCCAGTTCAGCCACTGGGCCTTTCTTTAGCGCCATCTACAACATCAGATAGTGTTGGTGGCAACAGTGGAAATTTTGGTGACAAGCAGCAACAGACTTTGATGGGGGGACTTGAGCATATTCCATCTCAACCACATGCAATCTCATTTGCTGCATATAATGGGACAAGTGTTCCTTCAAATCTGAACTTCTCAACCATGGCACAAAACCCTGTGATATTTCAGAGCCTGCCAGATATTGCATGGCAAGGATATCATGCTGGAAATGCATCTCATGCAACTCAACAAAAGATGTATCCCATTATAGAAGGCAACAGTGGGGATAGTTCTTCCCACCGTGATGATGAAAAAGCCACTTCCGGGAAGCCATCGTCCAACGGACCAACAACCCTTGTTTTTGATAATTCAGCAAAGAATCTTAACTTAGTTTCATCTCCCATGAATGGAAACTGGCCTAATCGTTCCATTTCGTCAACTGCAACAACCACAAGTTTTCCTCTTTCTAGCAATGCTGTAAAGTCTCAACAGCCATCTCAGCTGCTTCATCTTCAACAGCAGCATGGAATGTTACAGTCGCAACCTGCTGTGGCGACTCGTTATAAAGCCTCGTCAACTAATGCTACAATTGGTGCAAATTTTTTTACTACCCCAGTTTATTCACAAACTCAAACTCAAAGCAAAAGTTCGATTAAAGGCTCCCAGTCAAAAATCTGTGTAGCAGCCCCAGATTCTCTTGTTCATAATCCGTGTAACATAACTTCTACTGCTCCAACTCTTCAAAGTTTTTCCCAGGATCAAGGGAGAGTATTGCAGGGTCAGACCCAAATATCTTTTGGTGGAAATTACATATCGTCCATGCCACTCCAAGGGCAACAGCTATTCAATAACAACCAGTCTCTTGGTAATACAGTTGCAGGAGTTCCATCTAGTGGAGCCAACTTGAAGACAAATTCCCAGGGGAGCAAGATTAGTTCATCAGTGAACTCTTCGCAGATGCAACAAACTGAGAATTCTTCCACTGCGACTGGCCAAAAATCTTCCCCAGTTTGTGGGAGAAATGTCCCATCCATCTTGAGCTCGTGCCCCAGTCACCTATCTGAGCTGAAGTATTAGAACTCGAACGGTATACTGCACGGGCAAAAAAGGATTTCTCTGCAATCCCGCTATTGTTTTTTTTTTCTGGCGCAATGAGTTGCTTGAGGTGAAGCACGCCATTACATAGTTTGCAGTATAAAAGGCTTACGCCTTGAGCTATTTCCAGAAGAGCGGATGGTTGAAAAGAAATTTTTGGATTGGTTTGGAAGCGTGTGTTTATATCCCTTTTGACGTACGGATGCTCCTGGGCGTAGGATTATTGTGGCAATAATATACCAGAGACGTGAAAGAGAACTCTGTTGATAATTTTCCTTGTCGTGACAGAACAGATGCGGCCACTTTTACTAGTGTGTGACAGATAATGAAAGGAAGTAAGGGCATTGGGCCTACAATTTTGAAATCTGAGAAGGGATTACTATCTTTGTCGATACTTTTTGAAAGGCCAGTGCATGTGAGTTTGGCCTTATTATTTGACGCGTTAGATACAATTCTGATATGTAGATATATATCATTATGTCTTTTTCTTTTGGTTTTTAGTTTTAGTTCCATAGTAGCAACTGTACTTAATAAATTATTCGTTTTTTATTTTATATACAAATCTTTAGTTATTACTTGTCACTGTGTTGGGTGGATTGGTGTGGCGTTGATTGGAAGAAAATATAAGCCAACGAAACTATGTATTTAATGGAACTATAACTAAATTGGAAAAAAATGAAAGTCATTTAATAATGTATTGGATGAGTGCCGCCAAGTTTTGCTAGGAGGGAGGTACATCTGGTAAAAGATGATCTTTCTTCCAACGAGGCCATTGTGGAAGACTGGAGCCACTTTACGAATTTTAGATTACTTATAAGTATTGATGTATATTATCTTAAAAACATTATTTAATTCATTACATGTTCATAAATAAACAATACTTACCTGACTCTTTTTCTTTATGATATACTATTTAATAATAAATATTTTTATCCTATTAAAACATAATGTTAAATAAAATAAACTTACATATTTTATTCGTTATTTTGTTAGTGTTTACTAATCCATAGTGTATAAGACGTAATTTCAACTTTTTACTTTAAAAATAATATTCTATACTTAATTACTGAATTCGGTTTATAATAAAGTATCATATACCAATTATTGTGTTATATACGTGTTTAAATGTTTTGACTTCACTGGATAACAAACAAATTCGTTTTTGTGTGTACTCTTTGATCTTGTTTTCATTTTTATGAAGAATTTTCATTGATTGGGTACCATATAACTATGAGTAATATCCGTTTTTTTAGTTAGATGTGAATATAAGAATAATTATGTATGCTATCCATATCCGTCTAAATACTTAAATACTTATTTCGTTTCCATTTAGTATTACTAAAGTACTCACAGAACAATTTATTAAGTAACCTTATATATATATTTATTTTTTCTTTCTCTACATATTTTTGTTTTCTTTTTTAATTGTTTAATTTGTTTTATATCAACAAAATTCATTAACATCTCCGGTGTATTTTTCATCTAATCACATATTTAATTATATATTTATTTTTTTTGTGCAATTTATTTAAATTAAGTATCAAATTATTTATAAGACACGTATATGATGTTTTTACTTCTTTTTAATATTTTTGTTGTTCACTTTTATAATGCGAAATACATTTTAATGGTTTTTATATAATTGTTTTTACTTTCTAAATAAATATAATAGTGTAATTTTATTTATGTAATTGTATAAAGAATTACATTTACTATAATATAATAATTTAATGTCAATGTGTGAATCTTGCTTATCATCCTCAAACACAAAGTTCAAAAGAAAAAAAATCTATCCTAAATGTTAATTATTATGCTTAATTAAAGAAAAAAGATCTATCCTAAATTTTAATTATTATGCTTAATTACTCTTAGTTTCTCACTTTGGAAAGTTTGAAATTGGTCTAAGCTTAACTTTTTCTTCAATTGCATCCCAATTTTTGAAATACTTAATTAGGTCCTTAAAACAGTTTACTAATAATGTTAACGCCACATGTCAATTTACAATTTTTTTAATTTTTTATAATTTCGTATAACCTTTTTATAATTTTATAATTTAGTTTTTGGAAAAAGATTTGTTGTCCATGTGTTAGGTTGCACGGTATAACATATGGCACCCAGGTGTTAGTGTCAATGCCAGTGTCATAATCTTGTACTGAATTGATTCTTATAGATTTTTTTTATATTCAATTTAGTTTTTATATTTCTTCAAAATGGAACAATATTATCTCTCTCTAAATTGAAATAAAATTTATTATTTGTATAAATGTTATACTAATAATGTTCAGTAAAAATGACGTTTTAAAACATGTAACATTATTGTATATCATTAATCTATATGTTTTTTTATAAGATTAAAACTACTATTTATATAAATATTATACTAATATTTTTATTAAAAATGACTTTTTAACATGTAACATTATTGTATATTTTTAATCCATATGTTTCTTTATAAAATTAACACTAATTAAGTACAATAAATTTGGTCTCAAATTACAGAGAGACAATATTGCTTTATTTTGAAAAAAATAGACCAAATTGAATCAAAGATACATGTATACTATAAAGACTAAATTGAGTACAAAAGAATGACATGTGAGAGTGTTCTTCCACATAGTACTCACTTGTCACAATGAGACTTGACACATGGACAATAAGTTTATTTACAAAAGATAAAAAAAAATTGACCAGTGACATGTTAATGTCATTAATAATTTTTTTTGAAAATGATCTAATTGAGTCAATTTTTCAAAAATTAAGATGTAATTGAAACAAAAAGCTAAGCGAAAGCTACCTAAAACTTTTCAACCAAAATAAAGACTAAATGAGTAATTAAACTTAATTATTATTAGTTTGATTCTTTTTTATGATGAATGGTTTTAAATGATAAGAAATGGTTTTAATCTTTCTTGCACAATAAAATGACATAACAAGTGTTTCAATCATTAACATGTTAGTGCTTAATCCTTTCATGATTTGTGAAATAAACCTAAATAGATTGAAAAACTAGGTTTCTAGTAATAATAATCGATTACATAAGTGATATACTCTGTTAGACTAATCCAAAACACTTAAAAGGCAAAACGCTATGTTATAATTGATTACATTAGTTACATAATCAATTAAAATAGAGAAAAAAACATAATTTGTTATACATATAACATAATTTGTTAAGAAAGACAAATGGATGACTAACAAGGTAAGTGGCTAAATAATCGATTATATAAGTTTCTTAATCGAGTAAACCAAAAAGAAAGGTCTAATCCATTATACAAATAATCTAGTCTATTAGGTTAGTTGAAAGAGGCAATTATAAGCATAAATGTCTAATTAATCAATTACATAAGTGCCTTAATCGATTAAAACAAAAATAAAAGCTTAATAGATTACGCTATTAACATAATTGATTAAACTGCGTGATGATTTGGTTTTTCTATATAAACTAGATTTGAGACTTGATTCTTTATAACGTTTTAATTGGAAAATACTAACATTCGCTCTGAGTTTTGAGTACAATTTTTCTTAAGAAGTGTTCTTGGAGAATTTCAACCTTAATTGGTGATCAAGCCATTAAGAATTCATTCAAGATCAAATGAACTTCATTTGGACTGATACATTTGCACTACATGAGTGTGTTCTAATCAGTTTATCATTCATTTGAGTGTTGTGGCGCCTGTGCTGGGTTAACCAGGTTAGAGATTGAGAGTTTCATCTCTTGCATTGGTGGAGAGTGAGTGTTTCCTCTCTTGTTTGTGTTGTATTCAGATTTGAGAGTGGTGAGGATAACAATTGAGTGTTTCATTGTATTCTCAAACTCATTTGATTTAATGGATTACCTCTCAACTCAGGTTGTTGGGAGAAGACTAGATGTAGGCTTGTGAGAAGTTAAACCAATATAAATCTTTGTGTGCTTTGATCTTTCTTTCATCTTTCTTTACTTGGTTGATTCATTTATCTTTGGCTATTGATTTCAAGATTCAAGAACTCTTTAAAAATTTGAAAAAGATTTTGAAAAAGGTTTAAATTCAATTCACACCCCTGTAAGGACTCCTAATTTTAACATGATCCAATGTGGTGTTCTTGGACTTAGCAGGCAAGAGAAGAAGAAAAAGCCTTTTGACAGAAGATGAAATTAGGTTTGGGCTAGTCCAACCCATTTCTGGCTCCTTGCACCACCTGGTTTCGTTCCACGCCTACCTTTTGGGTCTACTTTTATTTTACTTTGTGCACCTCTATATTCACCTCTATATTCAGTATCCGCATACCCCTTTTGTGTTTCATTATTGTTTTTGGGCTTGAATTTATTTTACTCGATGCACCTTAATATTCACTACACACCTTCCACTAATTGATCACTACGTTTTACTATTTTACATATATGTTGATTTTATTTTCTATATGGGTTTTATTTCTATTTTGGGATTTTATTTTATTTTAAAACAATTAGTTCTTAAACTTTCACCTCACTTGCTTTTTAACATCACACTTTCTCACACACCTTTTTTTTTCTAAATGATAAAAAATATAAAATTAAACTTTTTTCCCAAACAAACTATTTAAAGTCTTTTGCAGAGGTTAAATGTTAAATTAAATCTAAAGACTTGAAAAGACTTTTTCTTTTTCAAAAAAGACTTAGACGATGTAAGCTTTGAAGAAGAGTAATAACACAAAGGATTTAAAGAATTATCTATTTCTTTTCTTCAATGAGTCTTCTTTAAATAGTCATCTTTGAGAAACACCTGTTACTCGGATAATTGACCTTTTTAGGAGTAGGGACCTTAAGTACAAAGATATGTACTATTCTACGTGTTGAGAAGATCAACATTGCTTTAGTAGTGATAGTGTGTACGACTTGGACAAAACATAAAGTTTTAAGGAAACATTCCCAAAATGTCTTCATATCTCTTAACGCCTTTCTAATATTGTGTAGAGCTTTTGAACAAAGTTTGATATTGTTATTATCTGCAGAAATAAAGAGAACAAAGCACATTAGACAAAGAGGTATAGTTCATAATGGATTTAATGTTCTATCATTAGATAACGTTTAGGCATGTCTCGTACTAAGCGTTTAACATAAGTATGTTCTTTTGAGTAGTATATGTTTTGATGATAAAATATATAACATTTAATACTCCTTGTCTTAGACTCACTTGTTTTTATCAAATATTGTTTAAGTTTTATAACTTCTTCTATAGATACATCATGGATAATTTGCTTACATATTTCAATGTTGTTTTTAGTAAACATATGCTTTAGACGCTTCACTCAATAAACCATATTTCTTTAATTATTGTATGTTAAACTTTAAAACATAAGTTGCTAGACAATTTAGTCTCTTTACAATTTTTTCTTAATACTTTTCTCAAAATAACTCAAAAATATTTTTCACTTCTTTCCTTTTTACTTAGTTTAATTTTTTTGCAAAAATATAAAAAATAGAAAATTTTCATAAATTAAAAAATATTAACATCTTCAAACAAATAGTCTTAAGAGCTACATGATCAATGGTTAAACATTACGAATGGAGATACGTATAATAAGACTAATCCTTGTC